ATCGACAGTGAAGCGATCAAAACTCAGATTCTGATAGCCTGGATTTAAAAGTCAACAATTTTGTTGAACTTCAGCACTTTTGTTGAAGTTAAATCTTGCGATTTCCTGACCCGAACCAGCGACCGCGCGCAAAAAGTCTTCGCAAACGTGCAATCAACGCGTGAGTATCATCAGGCTTGCTTTGATACGACCATAACCCAATTTTGGCCGTGATTTCGGTGCCGCGGACCTCCGCGACACCGCGCCCGCGCGCGCGGTCGACGCACAGCCTCTATGGAGGACTAATGACTCTGGCTCCGCCGGCCGGAATTCGATGATTGATCTTTATTAATTAATTTCCTATGGGCGTGTCTAGATGTACGTTGATCGCTTCACTGATCATCGATGATCCGCGGCGACAGGCAACCAAATTAATTGAATCGCAAAAAGCGTGGCGGACGGCAACGTTTGATTTCGACGTCCACGATGGCCGATCTGATCTCGAGGCTCTCCGAGACGTCGTCGGCCTACAAGATGTGGCGAACGGACGGCGAGGGCACGCCGCGGTTCTCGGCGCGGAAGCGGGCGTCGTCGTCGGCGTCGCCGGCGGCGGACGCCGTGGCCCTCGAGGAGGCGCGGGGCGACCACGCGGCGGCGTCGGAGCGGCTCTTCGTCGAGCTCGTGCGGTGCGAGGCGCTGCGGCGGCTCGGGGGCGGGGCGCCGCGCCCCCCCGTGGACGCCGGCGAGGCGGAGCGCGACGCGGCGGAGGCGGCGGCGGAGGTGCGCGCGGCGCTCGGCGAGCTCCGCGCGAGCGCGGTGCGGCTCGAGGCGGCCGAGGGCGACCTCGCCTTCGCGCGCGAGGGCGTGGCGCGGCGGTCGCGGGCGCTCGGGGCGAAGATCGAGGACTGCGAGGCCGTCGCCGTCGCCGCGGACGGGCCCGGCGAGGCGACGGGCTGGGGCGAGGTCGACGAGCGGCGCGCGGCGGAGCGCGCGCTCCGGCGCGAGGCCGCGGCGCTCGAGGCGGAGGTCGACGCCCTGGGGCGGGGCGGCGCGCCCGCGCCCGCGCCGGGCGGCGCGCGCGCGCCGCGCGCCGCGGACCGGCTCGAGGCCGTCGGCGGCGCGCGCGTCGCGGCGGTCGCCGACGCGCCGCGGGGCGGCCTCGAGGTGCACGTCGACCTCGACGACCCGGCCGGC